CGTCTGCATGAAACTACATTCGTGCCAGCCGTTTGCAAAGAATTTGCCATCACAGACCACATGGAATGGCCTGTCCTGGTCATCACTTGCCAAAAATCAAGATTGTATCATGCTTTTCTTGATATCTCCAAAAGGCACTCTATACCCACATGTAATACCTTGATTATGAAAGATAGAGATAAACAGTCATATCGGCGTAATCGTGCGAATATTTGTGCAGATACGCTGCTATGCCAGCGGGTTTCCAGTCTCTTGAAAAATTTAGGCACCAGCCAATCGGGTCGATTGCCTTGATTTTTCTGGATTGGGTCGAAGTCCATGCTCTAAAACGATTTGTTAATGAAATTATTTATTTGCTTAAGCAAATATACATTTTGAGGATGGTGTACAACTTTTGCTTGTTCATAAGTGTAACAACCTTCAGGACGTGGTTGGTGCACTTTCCCGTCCGTCTGTCCATCCATATCTCGTCTATGAACAAACACATCATCAATTTAACTGGGCTCGAACTCTCTTAAGTTTCTTAATAGATTCGTCCATAAAACGTTAAATATGGTAGGGGCATTACTTATCACTTGCGGCATTACCAACCACTCTTAAAGTATACCGCTTGGGGTGCTCACTGCAGTATAGGCAATGCGCATTTCGCACATAAGGATCTGATAGAATCCAAGCATTAGATACATGGATTAAAAGATGATGCTCTTGCCATTCCATCTATGATGACATTTTTCGTGGTTAATTGTGTTTGAAATGGTAAAATAGCAGTATGGAACTTGTTGAAGACGTGTACTATCCACCACCCTCCTGTGGACTTTTGCACACAGAAGGTCGGAGTGTTACGCAGAGAGGTAGACTCCCTTACATAGCCGGCTGATAAACGATGTACAAGCAATTTGTCCAACGCTAGTACTTCTTCACGAGGCAGTGGCCATTGCTTGATGACACGGTCGAACCCAGCTTTAGGTTGATTTCATGACAAACACCTATGTCTAAAAATAACTTGCACGGGAGTGCTTCTGCGAATACATCCCTGGATTCCACCAAATTGTTATAGAGAGGATTCGTTCAGCGTGATTCCCAAGATTGGGATTTCTCTTGCTCAATTCGATTATTCTTATCAAGGACACTTTTGTCCATTGATAAGATATGTAGAACTCGTTCATCTTCGGCAAAGGACATTTCTGATCATATATTATTGCCGTACTATTCCTCCGCGACGTGTACGCAGATCTGCTTGACTCTGCCACCAAGCAGATCACGCAAGAGCCTCTTTTGGTTCAGCGGGGTAACTGAGTAACCTTCGAGTTGATTTTGGAGGCTCGATTGGATCAATGAAATGAATACCTATGATTAAAACGTCATTAAACAGGGACATCAAAATTTTTGTCAAATCACGAGAACTGACTTCCACTTTTTGTGGGGGAATAAGTTCCTAAACTCCATCCTCTTACGATATTCTATCTTCGTATTGACCATCATTGGCAATAAGTTGGTCATGATTTGGTTATTGTCGACTAAGTAGGCAGCCATGCCTCGGTCCGTTCAACTTATTCGAGAGATGAGCCTTCGGTGCTTCCTCGGTTATTGTGCAGTCACCACAAACTCGCTCCACAAAGTGATGATTAGTCATTTTGCGATCTTGTGATGTAGAACTAATGAAGAAATTACACGTGAGGTCATCGTATTCGCTCGTAGTACATCCACCTGGTGGCGGACGCTTTAAGACATTCATCAGATGGACGTCTGGTGAACAAGCGACAAGCATAGCGAAACTTCGTCGATACCATCGTACTTGTGACTCCTACCATCTGAGCAATGGTAAGCCAAGGATACAATCAAACGTTTTATTCAAGTCCATTACGATGATTTCATCTTCGTACTCGACTTCTTTCGATGTATGGAAAATTATACCACACTTTTATCACAGCTACGGATGCGCTTGTAGAGAGACGTTCCGTCACCCTCGTTGGAGAGCTCTCTCGCATTATAAATTTTAAGCTTGATAACGTCTGGATATTTGCTTTGTAAGATGTTGTTTAAAACCCCACGATCGACCGGGTCTTGTAGTGAAATATCTTTTGCTACTGACCACTTGGAGGTCCAATGTAAGGAATAAAAACACATTACCAGATGCAGTAAAACACAGTGATTGCGTGTTGAAAGAAGTTCTTGCCAAGAAACCTGCAAATTCTCTTAGTGTTGCTGGTTCAGTAGGGTGCTACGCACATATTGATCCTGACCATTTTTTCGTCTGTTTCGGTGTTGCGTTTCCGCAACAGCACCAGACCCACGCATCAAGACCTTCTTAGCCGCTTGACGATTACTGATTTCTGCGGTACGTGGTACCACGTTCGAGGCACTGCATTCGTGATTAAAAAATTCCCTGTCTTTTGACACCTATATAATGTCTCTAATTTGTTACAATTGATAACGCAAGCGCTTTAACTCTCAGCGTAACAGAGTTCCATCTTTTCTGGGCCCCCACTTTCCTGTCGCCTCGGGGGGGCGCAAAGAGTCAAAACAACGTGAGATTGTGTCAAGCTGAAGTCATTCTGTCCTGTAACCCGGAATGCCTCTTCCAAGTTATTGAGTTCTATGCGGAAAGGTAGTTCCCGAATGGACCGCCCTTGAGACCATGAACAACGTGATCAACGCTATTTTCTCATTTACGGGACAGCCGCGATGCAACTCTTTTAATGACGAAGGATCTCAATGGACGTGTGTAGATCACGTTTGCCTTGCCTTATTTCTAGGCATTTTGAGAGAGTCCTAACCTAAGCTCGCGGCGGTTCGAACATTTGCCTACGTAAAAATTCGAAGAAGTTTATAGACATGCAGGCACATGGGTCATGTAATTTGAGGCCTAAGGGCCACAAATTTGCACTCGCCAAGTCCTTGAGAGCTTTTGCCACCTGAATTTGCTCATCGACAATGTGACAAGCTCTTGTGGTGTCAGTAGTTTGACAAACAATATCAGCAAAAAGTCTCCATCAGCTGCTTTATCTATGGAGATGTTAATCTTTAACGATTTGGTTCGACATGAGTGTGTAAACCTGGTGGCAGCAGCCTGCTGCTGTCTCAACAATCGAATGTAGAGCACTCTGTTCTTTTAATATCTATATCTGTTGATACCCTTGTTAGTGAATTAAGGCTATCTTTAATCGTACAGCGTCAAGTTTAAATTGAATGAACTTGGTTATAGTGGCGTGTTGCCTGTTTAAACCATGAGCGGACAGCATTGCGCCTACGGCTTCTTGCCCTATCTTCAAACTTCGGCATGTGATAGATATCCTTTCGACTTAAAACAAAATAGGAGTAGCTCCAGTGCGTTAGCTGGAAGTCTTCCGCTTCAGCATACAACACGCTCATTGGCGTGTGGGACAAAAATGTGACACCAGGTGTAGCGGAGCATCGGTCGTACAATAACAGTACAATCTACTTTTACCGAACACATAGTTAATGGGTGCCTTGAGACTTCACGTGCACGTGTCGTTCAGAGGAAGGTTTTAGCACGAAAAGGCTAAAAGTAGAACATAATTTAGTTTCGATTATCGCATGTCAATAAGTCCTATTTAGTCTTCATTTAACTAAATTAAAAAAAACGCGTATTACGAAAATCTGCATACCACTCATTGCGTTCTTCTGTTATGGCTCGGCTTTGTTGGATGATATAATTAATCAATATCACCGATGAGCAATGTAATGCTTCTGCGACACAATATTACTTGTTAACCCGATATTGATGGAAAAAATGTTTTTCCTGACAGAATATTCATACTTAATATTTACGCTGTTTAAATATCATGTACGACAGGGACCATGTTATAGTGATACAGCAAAGATTACCCAAAATGTCGCTGCATAGGGCAGCGAACTAATGAGAGCACTCGCAATGTAGGCTCTTACTGACTTGTTCGAGATGAGTACGATCAGCCCTGTGCCAAGTCTCTCTTTCCCTATTAAGAGGAACACCCTCAAAAGATCCGACGATGGCGCTTCAATTATGGCACGAACGTATACAGACTAACCTTCCCATTAAAGATTAAATAGAAGGTCGTGCAAACACAATACACATAATTTATTCTCTTTACTGTCTAGTTGTACTTAAGTACTACAACAAAACCGTTTACATCATTCGCCTGTTGTGGACAGCGTTGCATGGGTATTCCAGAATACCTTCTCTAACCCCACTGCCATTTCTGCTATTCACCCTTTCTTGCCGTTGATGGTTGCAACACAGCCTTCTCGGTGTTAATCGTCAAGTTTTTGACAAGCAGAGTCAATGTAACGGGGCACCCTGAAGCTTGTACTGATGACAGTACAAGATACTTATTCTGACGACAGAATTAGGCGGTGCCTCGGAACTTCACGTACACTGGTACGTGCAGAGGAAGACGGTAAGAAGAAGCGAGTACTTAGTTAATGTAAAAAGTAGAGCTGTATTTATCATAGTTAATGTCTGTTAATAAACCACTGTCTATCCTCATCTAACTATGTCAAAAAACAAATGTGCATATCAACTATCTGCTCACCACTCATTGCGTGCGTCTGTCGTGGCGTGTCTTCGTTGGTTGATTGAATGGACTATATCAACCAATCAGGAACTACTCGTAAGTGCTGCAGAATATTTGTCCTTATGACAATATTCTGAGAATATAACTCTTATAGTTATATTCTATTACCAATTTCTTGTAAATTGGTATGTAACGATTCACCCCGTTATATCACCCCCTAACCATCAGTCACTTTAGTGACTGATTGACTTGATGGATTACTGCCCCAAATCATTTGGGACAGGGTTAGCACTTGTTGGTCCGAGTCCACATTCCATCAGTTTCATCGCATGGTTAACAACCCCATGCGGTGCGCAAACAAGGCCGCCGAGAGCGCGTCTGCACACCTCTGTGCGGACGCCGAAGCAGAAACCGCAGCAACTGATGTGTCATCGGTTGCTGAAGCGACTCAGCCTGTGTCACCGGGTGATGCAGGCGCTCGTCATGAAGACACTCATGTCTTCACAGAGTATGAGCTTGGTGTCTCATACTCTCCCATTTACGGAAGATGGATCTGTATCGACGGCGATAGAAAACAAGCCGCCTGTCAAGTGTGGCATGGATGATGCTACGCGTCGTAGCATCTTTGGTTCATCTGAAAAATCAGATGAACCATCGCCGAAGCGAAGGCGCTCGAGATCGCAAGACTCGGGCGCTCACAGTGGTGTCGGTTTTCCTGTTGACACCACTTTGCAACGAGGTGCCAGTACTTCTGTCGGCACGTCGCAGGAAGAGCGGTACCGCAGCGTGTTGCGTCTCGCTCCCGAAAAGAAGGCATGGCTGCCTTCAAAGTCAGTTATGGATCGCTTGTCGGCGACGACAAGTGATCGCTATCGAACACGATTGTTCGACTCGTCAAGGATCCATCAGCTTGACCCCAGTGCGTAAGACTCTCGCACGGAACATGAGTTCTTCATCGATGCTTTCTTTTAGCATCGATGGTACAGTGGGAATCAAAAACTTGATGATCCCTCACTACTTCAAGCGTGGAACGCTTACATCCGTGACCTTGAGGATGTGGGTCGTGACGTTTGCAATGACAAACTCATCAAAGCTCGTGATAAGTTTGAAAAGCGAACCCCGACAGGTGCACGCTATAAGCTGCATCGTCTGTCTAAGAAGGGTGGGTTACCTTGTATTTCCTGGGGAGACCCGTGCCCTTGTTGTGTAAACAACTCTGCGCGCGCACCTAAGGAGGCTTACCTCCTTAATAGCCCGTAGTGGCGCGTACGTATCTCTACTGAGATGTACGAAGTGTATGACAACCTGAAATTTCTTTATGACCGTGCCGGGAAGAATTTCTCCGGCGGTCCTTCTGCAGCACAGGATGTGCCCCGTCGTACTGCTCAACCAGACCCAGTACGTCGATCATCAGTTGGTAGCGGGGCTCCCAAGTATCCCAGGACGGGGGGAAACCGCGCCACCGGACGAGGTAACTCGTCCGACGTCCGTTCACATTGCATTGGTTCAACAGCCGCTCAATCAGATAGCGCTGGCCACCGCGAGAGTCCTCCAAAGAAGGTGGTAAAGGAGGGAAGACGCTCTTCAAGCTATCGTGGGGGAGCGTGTATCTCCGAGAGCTTCTTTGATCGCGTAACTCTTGCGTACCGCGGCGACCTCGAGCATGGGCGGGACATGCGTCTTCAACTGGCGGACACTGTCTTGAAGCATCGAGCTGAGTTTGCTTTTGCTCAGCTTGAGAACGAGAGAGCTTTGACATATCTGCGTGACAAGCTAAGGGTAACTCGTGTGGATATTGACCGGTCTCGGGCTGAGATAACTGCTCTTCAGACCCTTGTTGATATCCACCATCGGGAGCACAAGGCTTTCTGCGAGATGCTTGAACGCAAGGGCGTTCTTCATCGGAAGAAGCAGTATACTGATGGTACGGCTTCAGCCGACCAACGTAAAACGTGGGATGCGTTCGCATCTTACGTGGCAGTTTGATCGTGTACGCCTTTCCTAGGCGATGCAATACACGAAATGGGCCGATGTACTTGGGTATAAGTTTACTACTATCCACGTTAGTCACTATGTGCTTTGGTAGATTAACCGTAGACAGTAGGACTAAGTCACCTTTATTAAATAAAAGAGTGTTTGCCCTTCCATTCTAGTCTGCGTTTTGCTTTTGCTTATCCACCGCTTCGGTGATGGAGTCTTGCACAAAACGGACTGCCGTTTCACGAGCCAGTATGAACTCATCTGCTGACTCGTTAGCTTCAGTGCGCTGTGAGTGCACTGCAGCAACATCAATCGTTTCTTCAGTGAGGGCTTCCTCGCTCTCACTGGCATCATCTTCTTCGATATCGATGAAGTCGATATCGGCATCAAACGCAACGACCTTATCGTCAGAGCGTGATGAGCGTGAACCAAATCGGTTTTTGCTCGCGCGAGTCTCCCCCCCCTTAAACCAGAGTTACACTCGAGTAAGGTGGGTACACGCGGATGGCGCAAGCCATTCACGTAAAACGGTGTATGTGTCGTGGACGCATGCACCGAGTTGTTAATGGCAAACTCTACCATTGGCAAGAACTCACTCCAACTCTTAAAGGAGTGTACGTAACCTCGAAATTTTTTCTTAGAGCACACGATTGGATCGTTCCATCTGACCATATGACTCTGGATGATCAGATGTCGACATCTTCAAGCGCGTTCCGAGTGATTTGAACACGGAACGCCAGAAATCAGCAGTGAATCGTGGATCTCTGTCTGATACGAGTTCACGGGGTAACCCATGAAGTCGGAAGATGGCGTCGATAAAGACACAAGCATAGTCACTTGCTGTGAGTGACTCGGGTACAGCCACAAGGTGTACCATTTTGCTGAATCTGTCAACAAATACGAGAATACCCGTATTCCCGCGTGCGTCTTTGGGTAACCCGAAGACGAAATCCATTGAGATGGATTCCCAGTACTGCCGGAACTGGTAGAGTCTGTAAAGGTGCACGCAGTGAAGGACTTGACTTCACTCGTTGGCAGACTTCGCATGCGCGAACATACTTTCGCACAAACTGATACTGGCGGGGCCAGTAAAAGTCTCGACTCACCGTGAGATATGTTTTCTCACGGCCACGATGTCCTCTTATAGGAGCATCGTGATACTCGAACATGATCCGCAATCGCAGATCAGTATCATCTGGGATGACAACACGTGGTGTGTCACCAATAACGGCTGTATAATGCAGTAAAACGTTGCGAGTAGTGTATCGATCTGATGCAGATCGATACGCAGACGATAATCATTTCAACGATTCTCGAGATGGCTGTGAGAGATGTGCCAACAACTTCACAATCTCACCATCTTGGGCACACGCCCGCCTCGCAGCATCATGCAACGTTGAAGATGGGACTGAGGACGTCATAACCGCAACAGTGGATGTCTCACTGTTGGGTTTCACGACTGGTTCAAAGTCGGGCCGACGTGAGAGTGCATCAGCGACGACCTTAAGTCGTCCTAGTTTGTACTCTACCGTACGCTTTCACGACTGGTTCAAAGTCGGGCCGACGTAGAGTGCATCAACAACGACCTTAAGTCGTCCTGGTTTGTACTCTACCGTACAGTTGTATTTATGCAAAGAATGACAGCCACCGCGCCATTCGTTGTGAAAGGTGCGGGCTGTTCACTGCCGTGCATAGAGACTCATGGTCTGTATAAACAATGAAGGGTCTATCTCCTTATAGATAGAATCTGAACTTCGCGAGTGCGTACTTCATGGCAAGGATTTCCTTGTCATGCACTGGATAGTTCCGCTCAGCAGGTTGCAGCTGACGCGACTGATAGCGAAAGACGCGTTCAACGCCTTCAAGATCGTACTGCATTAATGCACAGCCGATTGCGAAATCGCTGGCATCACAGACCACATGAAATGGCCTGTCCTGATCAGCAATTGCTAGGACTGGAGATTGTATCAAGCTCTGCTTGATACCATCAAAGAAGCGCTGACATTCAGCGTTCCGTAACCACCTCTCGTTCTTTTTCAACAAACGAGAGAGGTGTACAGTCATCTCGGCGTAACTGCGTGAATACTTGTGCAAATACGCCGCTAGCCCAAGGAATTTTCGAAGACCTTTGACATCAACCGGCACAGGCCAGTCGGCGATCGCCTTGATCTTTTCGGGATCAGGACGTACCCCGTTCTCACCAACGATGCATCCAAGAAGTGGTATTTCGCTTGCTGCAAATATACACTTCTTGAGGTTAGCATACAATTGATGCTTTCGCATGATTGTAAGAACCTGTCGGACGTGGTACCTGTGAACCTCAACGTCCGACTTTCCATCCATAGCTCGACTATGGATGAATACATCAGCGAAATAACTCGGTGCGGATTCTCGTACTGGTCTCAATAGATGTGATACACATCTGTTGAACGTGGCAGGGGAATTACTAAGCCCTTGTGGCATTACTAGCCATTGCCAGAGCATGCCGCTAGGCGTGCTCACTGTGGTTTAGGGTATATCCCGTTCTCGCATAAGGATTTGATAGAAACCATCCATCAAATCCATGGACGAAAAGATGGTACTCTTTGACATACCATCAATGATTACGTCCTTCCTTGGTATCGGCGACTGAGCCGGTACCGTTGCAGCGTTCAATTTGTTAATGCATGCACAATCCGCCACCCTCCTGTTGCTTTTTGCACACAGAAGGTCGGAGAGCTATGTGGGGAAGTTGATTCCCTCACATGGCCCGCAGCTAAACGATCGGCAAAGAACTTGTCTTTCGCAAGTACTTGTTCACGAGGCAGTGGTCACTGCTTCATGACACAGTATTTCGAGCCTGGTTTAAGCTCGACCTCGTTTTGAATACCTTTATCCTTCGGTAATTCGCACGGAACAGTTTCAGGGAATACATCCTTGAATTCAACCAAATCTTCATAGAGAGGATTTGTCTTGAGCGATTCCCACGATTGGGAGTCATATCGCTTAACTCGTGTCTTTTCATCGAGGACGCTTTAGTCCATCGATGAACTGCTGAGAACTCTCTCGTTCTCAGTAAACATTACTGCTGACCTTATGTCGGCTACACACTCGTCGTCAGCGACGAGTACGCAGATCTGCTTGACTTTGCCACTACGCAAATCACGCAAGAACCTTTTATTTTCGAGCGTTGGCAACTGAGTGATCTCCGAAGTCAACTTCGGAGGCGCAATCAGATCAAGTGTATAAGCGCCTACATTTGATCCATCACTGACTATGACATTCAATGTCTCTGTCATTTCCTGGGGACTTATTCCCTCAGGCCTCGAAGGACTTATTCCTTCGGCTTCCCGGGGACTTATTCCCGCGGGTTTCGGGGAACTTATTTCCACCGTATCTGTAATTTCGGGACTTATTCCCTTTACTTCCTCTAGCTGGGGTTGCGCAACCACAGCGAGATCCTCTACGAAAGACTCTCCAGTCGATCTAGGATTATCGTTTCGCTTAACCTGAGCGATCGATTGTTTCTCTTCTAGATGGTCCCCGCTAAGGATACATCTTTGTCCCGGTCCACTCGACTTATTCGAGTTGTGTACCTTCGGCGCAGCCTGTGTTTCCTCACAGCCGCCGGAAGCTTGCTCCGAAGTGTAACTGTTTGTTGCACTAAGGTTTTGTGCAGTCGTACTAACGACTGTACCACAAGTGAGGCCATCGCACTCACTCGTAGTACATCCACACGCTTGTGGACGCTCCAGAACTTTCATCAGATGTCCATCTGATGAACAAGCGGCAGGCATCGTTACTGTTCGATGTTGACAGTTTGCTAGTGGTTCGTACCTTCTGAGCCACGGTATTCCAAGGATGACATCAAATTTGTCATCTAAATCCAATACGATAAAGTCATCGTCATATTGGGTATCTTCTAGCGTATAGTGAATATTCACTATACGCTTCATGACGGTTACGGATGCGCCTGTCGCAAGACGTACCGTCATCCTCGTAGGAGGTGTGTCACATTCAACAAACTTGAATTGATCATCTTCTTTCGATTGGCGTTGCACAAAATTTTTGGACGCCATACAATCGACTAGAGCTCGAAGGGACAACTTGTTCGTCACTTCGAGTTTCAAGGTAATGATTGAGATCTCATTACCTAGAGCAGCAACGCACAATTTTTGTGTGTTGGGAGCAGCCTTCGTCAAGAGGCCTACAAATTCTCTTGACGTTGCTGGACCAGTAGGGTGCTCCGCACCTACTGATCCTGTCCGTTTTATGACGGTCCATCCCGTTGTTGCGTCTTTGCACCAACAGCGGACCCGCGTCTCTGCCCCTTTCTCATGGGTGGACGGTCACTACGCCCAGTGTTGCGAGACACTGGACGAGGGGCACTACACTCGTAAGCGTAGTGTCCTGTCTTTTGACATCTGTTGCATTTCTGCAACTTCTTGTAGTCTGTAGAGCGAGCCTTCTCGCTCTCTACATAACAGAGTTCCATCGGCTCTGGACCTCCGCTGTCATATCGTCTCGGTTGAAGATATGATGTCGAGCTGGCGCGAGCCTGTCTCAGACTGAAGTCTTCCTGCTCCGCAATGGAAATGGCTTGTTCTAGTGAATCTAGTTCAAGCCGGAACAGGTGAGTCTTGACGGGACCATCCGCAAGACCCTGCATGAACACCGAAACCAACGTGTGTTCATCCACCGGATTGGAACTTATACAACTCGTGAGATGTCGTAGCGTGCACGTCACGCTTACCTTGTTTGAGCTTCAAGAGTTCAGTCCGAGCTCTGAACTCAGCTCTAGGCGGTTCAAACGTTTTTCTGTGCCGCGACTTGAAGACTTCCAACGATCCAAACGCATATGGGTCGTGCAACTTGAGCCCCAGTGCCCAAGTCTTGGCACGTCCTGCCAGATTTGATTGGACGAATGCAACTTGCATATCCCCGTCGCCGATGCGAAGCGCCCTTATGGCGTCGTCTACTTCGACGAACCATCTCAAGAGGGAGTCCTCTTCGACTCCCCTATACTTGGAGATGTCAATCTTCAAGGTTTCGGTTCGACGCGAGTGCATCGACCCACCAGCAGCAGCCTGCTGCTGTCTCAACAGTATAAACTGTTGAGCACCCTGTTCTCTCAACAACTCTGCTTGTTGAGAACCTTGTTGGTAAAGCAAGGCTACTTTCTCGCGTTCTGCGTCAAGTTCATTTTGAATGAACTTGGTGATAGTAGCATGTTGGGCACCTCTATTGAGAGCCTCTAGCATGACGCTAACAGCATGGATGCCCATGGTTGAACCCATCCGTTCAACCGCATCCCATTCGACATCGCTCAAATGGGAGTAGCCGTCACGCGCAGCGTGAAAGCTTTGGTCATCATCATCATCTAACACATTCATGTTAGATGTGAACGTGGTCCTTGGACGGACTACGAAGTGCTACCAGGTGTAACGGGGCACCCTGAAGCTTGTACTGGTGACAGTACAAGCTACTTATTCTGATGACAGAATAAGGAGGTACCTCGGAACTTCACGTACACTGGTACGTGCAGAGGAAGACGGTAAGAAGAAGCGAGTACTTGGTTAAAGTAAAAAGTAGAACTGTATTTATCATAGTTAATGTCTGTTAGTAAACCACTGTCTATCCTCATCTAACTATGTCAAAAAACAAATGTGCATATCAACTATCTGCTCACCACTCATTGCGTGCGTCTGTCGTGGCGTGTCTTCGTTGGTTGATTGAATGGACTATATCAACCAATCAGGAACTACTCGTAAGTGCTGCAGAATATTTGTCCTTATGACAATATTCTGAGAATATAACTCTTATAGTTATATTCTGTTAACATTTTCTTATAAATTGTTGTGTAATATTTTGTCACGTTACAATGACGGTACAGGACTAAATCTCACTTTATACTACACGAAAGGAGGTACGTAGCGCAATTAGCAGACGGACAGACACACAGCTCAAACAAGACCGACAGACAGACAGGATGACACACGGAAACAGACAGACAGGTATGATTCAAAAGTTAGGCGTTCACCTTGCGCATAGTTACTAATACTTTCACGCTTCGGGCTCGCAAAAAAGCTACAGACTACGTGGGGGTTTAAAAACACATTGTACAAGCCCCTACGCAGCCAGTATGCTCACTCTAATTTAATGTCTTCACGACGTCGTACCCTTGGGGAACATAATTTTGATGTCATTTGCTGCAACATTTTCTCTGGAGGATGCCTACTCCTGCTGATGCATAGATTGCTGTACAGAAGATGCGAACGTAAAATGTTCTTGAGGCAAGTCGATGTGAAGCGAAATAGGTAGCTCGATGTTTAGAACTTTCTGGATTTGTTGCAGCCATGGACATAAGAACAGGGAGAAATGTCACGGTATTTGCAGCACAAGAATCATCTTCATAGTTGGCTCCAGGACTATCATCTTGCGGAAGGCAGAAAAAAACGAGGCCTGAAAACAGAGATAAAAAGTGCTTGACACAATCACAAATGCACTGACAATCTTGCATTCTTTACGAGTATTTGATAATGTCTAACTCACAGAAGCAGCTAGTTAAACTCTTAACATGTTGAAGCGCAGCTACTTCATGTTCTGTCCGCTTTACACAACATTAGAAGCTGACTGATTATGGATCAATACATCGGAACAAAAAATTGAACGAGAGGCGCCGCAAGAACTATTGCATTCCTCCTTGAATACCTTACTGAATGACATGGATGCAAAAATGTGTACCACAGGATCTGTCAAGGTGAGAACATAAGCTTTCAGCGCTTGCATTTTTCCAATTACCACATTTTGGACATAATGATACATTTACATCGTCGTTTTTAGTATGGAATCGACGCACAAGACTAACTCATTAGGTATTAAAATGTAATTGTGATTTTAAAAAGCGTACATGTGTTATGCTATCTCGATTTTTACTTGTATATCGACAAAATTCTACTGCCGCATGTGATGGTTATCACTGCAACCAATCCGTTCTTCTCCCTTTGCTATTAATTCATGCAGCACGAACCAGAGAATGATTGCCTCTAGGCGGTGAAGGAAATAAAATCTTGTTCTTTCGGATTGGGTTCAAGATGACATTGCTATCGCTGCGGGTAGAGAGCTTTTCCTGACCGGGCTATGTCAATATTTACTATCCAACGCGGTCTTAAATTGTGGTAGTGGCATATTAATAAAAATGTATTGGCGAAATTGAATTCGGAATTTGAGTCTAGATATATTCTGGACGATTTTTTGCACTTAGACGAGTCTCTTACCGGTCAACAGCCAAAAGGAGTACGTTTCTGAATCTATGACATGCTACTGCACGACAAAAGTAGTGTTCATACGTTTAATGATTTTGACACCACATGGCTGATTCACAAAAGAAATGTCATCTTTGCCTGAATTAATTATATCAAAGTTTCGAGACACAGTGCGACTTCACAAGTTGAATGATGGAATGCAATGATCAGGAGGTGGATAGAAGTATCTACTGACAATCTTGCTACATTGCATTGTTAATCGTCTATTGCTTGCGAGAACAGATTGTCTACTATAAGTCATCACTTCGCATTTGAGTGCTTTACACATTCAAATCGTCTGTCGAGTAACCTCTGGTAATTGGTTTTGCAGGATATATAAAACCATGCATTGAACGAGCGAACTACATAGGCTGCACTTTATTTAAACACGAGGCATTGAAGCAAATTCTTCTAACTTAGCATGTATTGTAGTAGAAGTCAGTAGACCCAATGAAAAATCGAATTGAGTTCACAGATGCATTCGGACAAGTTCATGACATCCCATGTTTGCATAAAAATCTCTTTGTGAAGCTGACCGTGGATAGCAAGTAAATGCTTTTGATGTGCACTGGCTCCTTGTCCGTGCGCGGTCGCCAAACTTTCAAATGTGTCAAGTTTTCATGAAAGCATTGAGCGCCTACACGAAAGGCATGCAAATGCTGCCTTCAGAACCAAGCATTCTTCGCAATTTCAATCTACTGGGAGCCAAGTGTCCATTAAAGGCCGTGTTTGTATTGCCATAGAGGCAGACCGTTAAAAATACGTGGATCGACAAAATAAATTTGTTAGAATCTGAATATGCTGAAATTACAAGGCGAGAGATCAGATTTCAGTGCTGGGGAACTTGTCACGAATAGGACACAATTGGAGTGCATGCCTACCATAACATTGGTGAAAGTCACAATACACGAACTGCGCAACTTGAATTCGCTCGTCTTAATATACTTTATCTATAGCCTTTTATTCTATCTCTCGCCAGCATAATGCGGGTGATTGGTGAGTATAATAGGCTTAGGGAATTTTATACCCACACCAATTTTTTGCTACACCCACAAGCTTTATATCGGTAACCAAAACTACTAGCAGTACTTGTGTCTTGCGTTAGTACAACCTCCACAAGACGGACTGAAAAGCTTGGATTAGACGTAAGGTTTAGCAATGCTTTAGGAGAGCGTACCGTCGCCTTTCGCTGAATGCATTTCGTACGTCGATCTGCCACATGTCTAGACTACCACAAATCACAACTAAAAGTCGACTGATTAAATACACTGTGTACTTGTGCTACACCTCGTGCGGCTCACTGACAATCGCCGCAGCAAGTGTGGAATTATAGCAATATCATTTCAGACTATCAAGTCTTGACAGGTATCTATTGCGTCTGAACAACTCAACCTTACCATGATAGGCGAACGGAGAAAAAAACGTTGCAGAATGTTTCCAGCCTCCCGACGATATAGGAGACCAGTAATCATCCATTCCGGGAATGTCATAGTGCTGCAGATCTCTAGATAAGACTGGCCACGCACTGGACCGGGAAGCGATTGTTTCGCCAGCGTACGCAACAATCCTTCAATACGAGTACCAGCAGACAAATCTACAGTCTACCCTTATGTAAAAAGATGATGTTAGGGGACAGGTTTCCGAATAACTTCGATAGAGCTGAAAGAGTACGTTCAACATTCAGCACATCGTTGCCACGACACGTCAAGTCAAGATCTTGACGAATAGGAAATATAGTTGCTTACCGAGCAGCGTCACTCAGTGTGAACGCAAAAAAAACAGCACTTTTTTGGGTTTCGTACATCGGTGCCTGCGGGTAATCGCGAAAAAGACAACATCGAAGGTCGATTCGGCAGTTATGGGTGCCATGCTCTACACATGCATCGAGATGCCGGAGCGAGAATCAAGGGACCACGAGTTTGAACGAATGTCAGCCACTACCTACCCCCATATCACCCCTTGGAGTTAGCATCTTGGATCGGGACCTACAGATGATCACGCACATTGGAAAACAACCTATCAAATAGACCACCTGACCACCGCTACCTGGAGGTACACCGTAACATAGGGTGTCTTCCGGTTTAAGGTTTTTAACCCGTCCAATTACGGAGCGGTAGTACTAGAGCATGTTACTGCCTTCTTCATTAGCCAATCACCGATAGTACTTAACGGGTGCCGGGCTGAATGTTATGGGGATGGCAAATTGTGGGTATGGGGATAAACCAAATTTGCTAGGTCAAGTCTTTCATCAATACTAAATGTCGGTATGTGTGTGTCACATTACCGTTCGTGCAGCAGGACGCGGGGCATTATTATTTTATCATTATCTGGGCACTTCTTTTTTCACGAGTTTATTGTAGTTAGAGCGAGAGTTGAAAATTGGGCAAATGATGTAAAATTGAGGTAAAATATGTAAGATGTTCCGTTGCATCAGACTGTGTGCCAGTGTCATGTCTTTGTGTTCTTCAGATTGTAAAAAAGTCTGAAATACAGGTGTATAATTTATGGCTGTTGGTAAACAGAGAGTGTGGGGATAGCAAAAAGCAGGTGTGTGGATAAACAATTTAATACTACCAGAACTTTACACCTCGTAGCGCCAGGACAGTGGCAGAATCTTTTTGTACGACCTCCATGCTGTAGAAAAAAATCTGTCCGCACAACTTATATACATAAAAATCTTGCTCTTATCTCACTACATAAATGCTCTTGGTGCCAAAGACGATTCAATTCATTTACAGCTGGTAGCTCTCCAAATCTTACGCATGAATAAAGCTTGACATTTTTGGGCCTTCGTATGCAAACACGCTGTACTACATGATGTGTGTCGGGGTGTGTTCTACTTTAGTTTTAGTCTGTTCTCGAGTCTAGCTCGTAGCACTCAAGTGTCCTAATTGGTTGATATAGGCCATTATATCAACCAACGAAGACGCGCCACGACAGACGCACGCAATGAGTGGTGAGCAGATAACTGATTTACACATTTGTATTTAGACATAGTTAGATGAAGATAAATAGTGATTTATTGCAGACATTAACTATTATAAATACAGTTCTACTTTACTCTAACCGAGTACTCGCTTCTTCTTACC